AATTTTTGATATGAATCATTACTCAAAACATGTTTCTATTACAGCGAGAAGTTTGAAGCCACCAATAACACAGTGGAGCTGCGTCTGCACCTGGCACCTTGTTATAGGTTAGAAAATGGATCCCTGCAGCAGGGAAGTGCTTGTTACGTTGTATAGTATTTGGGATTTTGGCTTTATAGACGTTGCTGCTTTAACTGACTGATAAGACGTCTGTGTTTATGTATAAAGCCAGGAACAATTTATTACCTGGTGGAATTCAAAAACTATTTAATGAAAGGGATGGGGGATACAATTTAAGGGGTCAGTTAAATTTTAAAATTCATGTTATACGTACAACCAAAAAAAGATTTTGTATTTCCATAAGTGGGGTAAAACTATGGAATAATTTAAGTGTAGACATAAAAAATAGTAATAGAATTGATGAGTTTAAACATAAATATAAAGGTATGTGTCAATCAAGATATATGCAAGAACAGGCTTAATGATTAATTAGATGGAACATTGTGGGTGTGGTGTATGAATGTTAACACTTTGTAATAATTCTTTAGTATATTACTTGTGTGGTGTAGAAGATAATTATTTAAGAATGTAATTATGTAAGAATGTTAACACTCTGTTATAATTTTTTTAGTATATTACTTGTGTGGTGTAGAAGATAATTATTTATGTAGAGATACTGCTTGTAAACCAATGATGGTAAGATGATGTCATGGGGTAGGACTGGATAAGTCTGACTTCTTCCTACTCCATTCAAGCATGTACTAGGTATAAGCAAATTGATATTGGATTATGTGTAAAATTATGTGTGTTGTCATATCAACTGTTTTTACATGCTTGAAAGAATAAATCAAATCAAATCAACCAACTGCCGCACTGACTCCTGTGTACACAGTAACAGGCAGGTAGTCATAATGCTACAGCTGATCAGCGTATGGGATATACAGCACCATGATGCTCACATACCTGTGCTCTTGGCGATATTCTCCAGCAGTAGTGGATACTTGGTCAGTCTCTGCATCTCTATAGGAATGATGTCTTTGAGCTGCAGCCTGCGGCACTGGGGCTTACTCTCTGCCTCCTGGGATTAAAACACACATGCGAGTCAGAATAAGAGCACGTACACATACGACATCTTGCATGTTCTTAGATCACTGAGTGCCTCCATGCATATATTTTTGTTACACCTTAAAGTATTTATTTTAAGAGTCAGATGTTCTGTATGTGTGCGCGCCTCTGTGCATCTGTGTGCATGTTACTTGTATGAAGGCGTTGAAGCGTGGCTCTCTCTTCTGCCTGTTCTTGATCTGGTCCAAGGCCCATGACTGGTGACTACAGAAGCGGGCTGTCAATTTCTGGAACCACTCCCCCTCTGTACCTCCAAACTGCAACACACACAACACACACAACAAGCTGCAGTCAGACACTGTTGTAGAAGTAAAGAATGAGAGGAATAAAGATAATGGCAGAGGAAAACAGAGCTGGGAAAGGTACAGAGTAAAGACTGTCAACTAATGTAACTCGCTGTTACAGCCAGTATTTTACTTTTATAGATAAATATATAAAAATCTGATTTTGGCACTTACTGCCAAAGATTATGCCAACTTAAAATGTCAGCACATCAAGTGCAACAACAAAAATACTGAGAGAAAAGAGAAATGGGATGATGCCGTGACTCACCCTATTGAGCACTGTGGTGCTGATGGATTTGACTATGAACTTGTCATCCAAACGCAGTTTCTTCAGGTTCTCATAGAAGTTATCTGAATTCACAGCCAGAAGCAACTTACATTTAAAATACAGTGCAATCTTTGTTTATACAAAAATCACTAAAGTACTAATGAGGTCATAGTGCTGAAACACTGTACTCTGTCTGCAGCCTGTGGGTTAAAAAAAATTAATAAGGATATTTTTGGTGCATGAAGTAATTGATTTTGATTTCTGTGTTATTCTTGCCTGTGCACCCAGTTATATGTTGTTCAAATAAACTGATTGTTCCATCTATTTTAAGTTATCACTGACAACAAACACACAAGGAGCAGCATCACAACTTTTCCTGAAATTAATCTCAGAGTACAAATTTAGATCTGCTGCATAATGGTTTGCTTGTTGTGTGGAGAGCATCAACTTCATGTACCCGACTCTGGTAAAAAAAAAACACACACACACACACACACACACACACACACACACACACACACACACATAAGTCAAAGAAGGTCTTCAGTGGCAAGAAAAGGTATGTGAACCTTTTGGAAGTTCATGGTTTTCTGCATTAATTGGTCATAAAAAGTGATCAGATCTTCATCTAAGTCAAGAGTACTGATGAATACAATGTGCCTAATATAACAACACAAAAAATTCTGATAATTCATGTCTTTATTGAGAACAACCATAAAAACCTCATAGTGCTAGTGAAAAAAGTATGTGAACCCTTGAGTTAATGACCTCAAAAAAGCTAATTGAGTCAGGTGTTAGCATACCTGGAGTCTTGTTAAGAAAATGAGTTTGCAGGTGTGGACTAGAACTACTTTGACAGATAAAAACCACTGAAACTTTGAGTTTGCTTCACACAAGAAGAATATGCTTATGTAAGCCATGCCTCACCAAAAAGAGCTTTCAGAAGATCTATGATCAAGAATTGATGATTTACATAAAGCTGGAAAGGGTTAAAGTGATTTCAAAAACTTTAGAAATTGTATAGATGATACATCCGTCACTATAAATAATAATACAATACAATACAATATAATTTAAGGGGTCAGTTAAATTTAAAAATTCATGCTATACGTACAACCAAATAAAGATTTTGTATTTCTATAAGTGGGTTAAAACTATGGAATAATTTAAGTGTAGACATAAAAAAATTGTAATAGAATTGACGAGTTTAAACATAAATATAAAGGTATGTGTCAATCAAGATATATGCAAGAACAGGTTTAATGATTAATTAG